ATGGCCAACAAGATGCGAATTTATGGAGAAGATATGCAGGATGTTAAAGTGGTGGAGAAAATTCTACGCTCTTTAACTGAGAAGTTCAACTATGTTGTATGTTCTATTGAGGAGTCAAAGGACATTGACGCTCTTCCTGTTGATGAGTTACAAAGCTCATTAATAGTGCATGAACAAAAGTTTTAGAGACGTAATGGTGAGGAACAAGTTTTGAAAGTGACATATGAAGGAGGAAGAGGTCGTGGTCGTGGTACCTACAGAGGAAGAGGAAGAGGGAGAGGTCGAGCAGACTTCAACGAGGCAACTATGGAGTGTTACCGATGTCATCAACTTGGACATTTTTAGTATGAATGTCCTTCTGGGAACAAAGAAGCAAATTATGCAGAGCTTGATGAGGAAGAAGAAATGATTTTGATGTCTTATGTGGAGTTGTATAAGGCCAGAAGAGAAGATACATGGTTCCTTGATTCAGGGTGTTCTAATCACATGTGCGGCGATCGAACTATGTTCAATGAACTCGATGAAAAATTTCGACATTCGGTAAAATTGGGGAACAACACTAAGATTGGATGTGATGGGAAAGGGAAGTGTGAAGCTGCTGCTGAATGGAGTCGATCATGTTGTTACTGAGGTATAATATATTCCAGAGTTGAGAAATAATCTCTTGAACATAGGGCAATTGCAAGAACGAGGCTTGGCTATTTTGATCAAGGGAGGGATGTGCAAGATATTTGATCCAGAGAAGGGTTTGATAATTCAAACCAACATGAGTTCCAATCGGATATTTATCTTGCTGCCTCAGTCTCAAGCTCAAGCTCCCTCTCAAGTACAATCTGATCAGTGCTTTCACATAAGAACTCAAAACTTGTTTCATCTTTGGCATCGGAGGTATGGGCATTTGAGTTATAAGGGTTTGAGAACCTTGCTATACAAGAACATGGTACGTGGGCTTCCTCAACTCTCTGCCTCAAGTGAGACATGCACTGATTGCATCAACGGGAAGCAACATCGTGATCCTATTCCAAAGAAGAGTACTTGGAGAGCAACTCAGAAGTTGGAACTTATTCATGCAGATATTTGTGGTCCGATCACTCCTACATCTAGTAGAAACAAGGGGTATGTAAGGTTTTCATTTGGACCTTTATTGTATTTTGGCTCTTCTCTTAAACCTACAAAACCCTTGTAATATTAATTAGATTCGTTTTATATTTATAGGTAACAGTTGTAAAAAAATTGGGAAGGTGTGATATTTTTAGTTAAAATTATAAAATGGGTGGCATAGAAGGCTATTTCCCAAATATTTTAAACATGCTTTTCTGACAAAAGCATGGGCTTCTTTCTCTATTCTCCATTTCAAAAAGTTGACAAACATTTGAGAGTATTTTATTTACTCTCAAACGGTTTTGCTTTGTTTGAAACCAAGCTTGACATTTATTTTATAAATTATTCTTTTGTCTTCCACCTTATAGAGTGTTGTTCCTTTTTATTATTTAAAACTTGCTTTTCAGATAGGAACCCACGACACCCATGCTCTTGGGTTTTCCCATTCCCTTAAAACTTGTCAGCTCACTTTTCTTCTACAAAAGGAATAACTTTCCTTATCTTGTATGGTGGTAACTTGAGCCACTCCCATGCTGTTGTCTGCAGCTTGTTTTAAATTAAAGAAAAGTGTGTTTCTCAAAATGCTCTCTATTTATTCCTTCAAAAAAACTGTTAGAAGTGTTGGTTCGGCTCATGCATTTTCACAGATGGTTTATGCCTTCCTTCCTGTCATGAAAACCGAGTGGGAATGAAAACTCTGAAAAGAGTTTTTGCTTCAGCCAGAGTTCATACTCTTGAGGGTTATGAGAATGATTGCATTCACATAAGTGCTTCCCCAAGATAACTTTAAATCTCTAAATGGCTGAATGTTTTTCTTTAATTCATTCTCTTTATTATTTGTTCAACTAGTATATGTTACTTGTGAGTATATGATTGATTGTATACATATAGCTTTCTCCAAGTAAACATTTACAAGATTTCGGTTGAACATTTGTTTTGTTTCATTGTTGTTTTGCTGAATTAAACTATATGCTTCAAGTTCATTACTTCTAGTTTAATCATCACAACACTTAGGTTTCATTTGTCTAGCTCAATCATACTTTGTGATTGAGATAGATGAATCTGTGAAACCATAACTCACTTCATACATCAAACTACATGCAACTTGAGCTTGGTGCTCTTGAGAGGATCTGCTGCTAAGAGATAAAGAAAAGGTGCTTGCTGAAAGGTTGGATTGTAGCTGCCTATAGGTGATAGATGAGCTAAGTATTCTTTCGTTTTTCTTGTATTTCTTAATTGAGTAGATTGAATCTCTCCTGGCTTGGTGCCCCCAGTTTTTCACCCTGTTGGGTTTTCTGGGTCAACAATTATCGTGTGTTATTTACATTCCGCTGTTACTAGTTTTAATTTATTAACCACGAAATTGTTTGTGTTTGTGCTTGTGTGCCTTTAAAGAAGT